GGGACCCTCTCTGGGCACCAGGCGACACGTGCTCGCCCCAGGGGGAGGGGAGCTTTTGCAAACCTGGCGACCTGGGCTCTTATTAGATCCGGCTTGGGGGGGCGGGGGCCAAGAAAGCCTCCGCTCGGGAAAGCTGAGGCCAGAGCGAGGCGGGGCGGGGGCGGGGTCGGGGGGGGCGCCACCCCCCAGTGACTCTGAGCGGTGGCCCAGGCGGGAACTCAGCCGAGACACTTAACTTAGCCTGAGGGCCCCAGCAGGCTGGAGCCAGAGAGGCACGGTGAGGCGGGACAGGGTTCGAGATCCCAGCGGACGTGGGAAAAGGCTCATTTACGGGCACAGCGAGAGACGCAGGCCCCGAAAACGGGTGGCGGGGGGCGGGGCGCATTTGCAGCCTTGGGCGCCCTCCCCTCTTCTCCTGGCTGACGCCGTGCACACACAGGTCCCGCGTTGTCCTCCTGGCGGGTGACCAAGCCGGGAGATGGGGAAACTGAGGCCAGGTGGGGAAGGTCAGACTGGGTGGATTTTTTTTTTGGGGGGGAGGGAGCGGGAGCCAGGTGGCGGTCAGGGGCATAGAGCAAGACAGGCCAGAGCTGGGGTGGCCCACGGTGCGTAGGGATGGGGTGGGGACAGGGAGACTCAGAAGAGAGCTGGCCGGGACACGAGGTGGAGGGGAAGCGGCCAGGTGACCCGCCAGAGGGTCTTGAACTTGGATTGGTTGACGGTCAAAGGCAGAGTAGAGGGTGACGACACCCTCATGGGGACCCCAGCCCGGGGCAGCAAGCCTGGGCTCCCAGACTGAAATTTGGCCGGCCACCGTGGTGACAGAGGTTAGGGTTAGGGTCAGGGACATACTCCCCAGGTCATCCGTGGAGGGGACGGGAGGATGCTCTAGTGGAGACAGACGAAGAACGGTCAGAGAGGAGGGAGGGGACCCAGGTGTGGCCAGTGTCATCATGGCAGCTAAGGAGGAGAGGGTTCCAACAGAGAAGGGCTGGTCCCCCTTGGGCAGCGGTGGTCCGAGCAGTCAGGTCCGGCCACCAAGCCCAGCTGCCACCGTAAGACCTTCCGGCTGGACTCTGTCCCCTCCACTGTTACACGGAACTGAGTAAGTCCCAAGATTAAAAAACCTGGCGTAGCCGTGTGGCTCACACCGATAATCCCAGCACTCTGGGAGGCCGAGGCGGGAGGATCGCTCTCGAGGTCAGGAGTTCGAGACCAGCCTGGACAACATAGCGAGACCCCTGTCTCTACTAAAAATACAAAGAAATGAGCTGGACAACTAAAAATATACAGAAAAAATTAGCCGGGCGTGGTGGCGCATGCCTGTAGTCCCAGCTACTCGGGAGGCCCAGGCAGGAGGATCGCTCGAGGTCAGGAGTTAGAGACCAGCCTGGGCAGCATAGCGAGACCCCCATCTCTACTAAAAATAGAAAAGTTAGCCGGGTGTGGTAGCATGAACCTGTCATCCCAACTACTCGGGAGGCTGAGGCAGGAGGATCGCTTGAGCCCAGGAGTTCGAGGCCTCTGGCCGTGGACTCCCAACACCTGGTCAGTGCGGGATGGAAGGTTCTGGAACCGTGCAGCAGTCTAGCCTCGACTGCAGGAGAGTAGAAATCAGTGGCCTCTGCAGGGGGGAGGGGTGGCCCAGGCTGCAGAGGGCGACAGGGAGGAGGACACAGAAGACAGGGCCAGCCCCCGGGAGCTGGCCCGTGAGCGGAGAGGGGGGGCTTTTTCTGATGGGCTGGGCACCCGCTGGGCCCAGACTCGAATTCTAGGCTTTGGAGGTTGGCAGGGACCAAGTGGGCTTGTCCCACTGGCCTCATTATACAGATGAGGAAACTGAGGCCCGAAGAGGGGGTTCGTGGCTTTGCCCAGTTAGCCAGAAGGAGACCACGACTTCGGGGTGGGGGTCCCGCCAGCCTTCGGGGCTGCCTGTCAACCCCACACTCCTGGAGTCCCCTCCCCTGTCACCCGGGCCAGGAAAGCACGGGCGGGCAAGGCCCCGGTGCTCAAGAAAAAAATGGCTATATATGAAAAAAAAAAGCATCTGGAAGTGGCCAGGGCCTAGGAGAGGCCGAGGCAGGACCGTGTCCCCAGCGCCCGAGTGGCTCCTGTCCCCTAGGCCTGGAGTTCCCGGCTGCAAGGTCTGCAAAGGGTCCCCTGCCGACCCCTGTCCCTGCGGCTCCGAACGCCTTCCATCCGCCTGTGACACCCGATCCTCTCTCCTGTGCACAAACTCCTGCGGCCACCTGTTGGTGCCTCAGGGCCTTTGCACTTGCTGTGGGTGGCCCGAGCCTGCTGGCCCCTGCCCTGGCCGGCCCCTGTTAGATCCCTCCCCGGAGGAGGCTTCTTCCAGGAACCCCCAGCTTGGTTTTCTTCGTAGCTCTTTACGAGCTGGTCTGGGGCTGCCCTGTCTGTCCCTGCCCGGCCTCAGTTTCCCAATTTGCAAAAGGGGCTCTATGTGTGCAATGTGCACGGCCCTTCCATGCAAACGGACAGTGTGATTCTGGGCTTGGGGACGAAGGAGGTGTCCTCAAGAGAAACGGGGTTGGCCCCTGCCCAGGCCTGGGCTGGGAGAGGAGGGCGGGTGGCCGGGCCCAGGTTGGGGACAAGAATGTAAATAGCGCGGCTTGAAGTGCTTTTCAGCATTTAAGGGGACACAGAGGGGGACTTTAAAATAAAGTCATCATTCCGGAAAGCCAGCCCCGCCCTGGACGTCACAGCTGCGCGCTGTGGGCAGCTGGAGTCGCATTGAGGGACAGGGACAGTGGCCCTGGCCCGGCGGGCGGGAGTGTGTTCTGCCTCAAGCCTGGGAACCCCTGAGGACAGTAGCTGCTGAGTGACAGTCCTCAAGCTGGGGCTGCCGTCCTGGAAAGCTGAGAGGGTTGTGACGATTGAGCGGTTTGAACCCGTCACCTAGAGAGAGGGACCGAACCGCGTCTCTCGTGGGGTCGGGGACAGGCTTTGCGGGGTGGTGGACGCAGCCGCTCCCGGCCTGTAGTGACACTGCCGTCCCCTGGGCTTCTAGAAAAACTTCTTTAAAATCTGGTCACTTTTTTTCTTAATAAAAGGGACCCTTTTATTTCTTTTGGGTTGGATGCCACCCGCGTGGCTCTGCGGCGGGCGTTTGTCTCAGATGTGACTCATTTAACTCAGGGTGGCTGCAGAGTGGCCCCCGGGTGTGGCGTGTCCCGGTGCATCTGAGGCTCGCTGGGGCGGTGGCCTTCGCTCGGTGCGGGAGCATCTGGGGGATTCGGGGACAGTTTCTCTGTCCCAGACACTTTAGCTTCTTGGTGGCCCGTGTGGCCAGACCGCCCTCGGGACAGCCACGTTTCCTCCCAGGGCCTCTGTCCGTCCCTGTCACGGCAGCTTGATTCTGTCCCCCCCGGGCCTCATTACCAACTCGGCTGCCATCACACCCAAACTCTCAGCGACCTTCCTGCCCCCAGTGTCCCCAGCCTGGCTCGGCCCCCGCTGTCCCCGTCTTCCCGACCGGGGCGCAGTTTGCGCTCGGCTGGGACAGGCAGAGTGACCCCGTGTCCCTCACCGCCTGACTTCAAACCAGAGTCTGGTTCTCAACTGCCACCGTGTGGGACGAAAGGGGACAAAAAGGACAGGGTGTCAGAGTCACATTGGGTAGGGGGTCGCCAAGGAGTTGGGCACTTCAGGCGGGAGCCCACAGCCGCCCGTGTTTCCCCTTGGCCCGGGCGGGCACAGTCCCCTTCCTGTCACCCAGCCCGGCCACCTCCTTTTCTGCCCTGCGTGCTCCTGCTGTCCTTTCTCCGGTCCCCAGGTGACCTGTGTGACTTCATCTCCCGTCTTCCTCCCTCCCTCCCAGCCCG